AGTTTTTGGATCCTTGCTATCATACTGAGGTGATGTTTTTTATTTACGATTTACTGGATTTCATGATTGTAACGAAGACAAGCTTCACTTGATTCAACAGCTCTTTTAAATGAACTTGTGATTCAGCACTGACAGAAGAGATTTAATTCTGAAGTTTTCCTTACCCATATCTTTTCTCCTACTTAGAATCACAGCTTTGTTGCCAGCTGAAGTTCTGGTTACCCATAGGATGTGCAGCTTTTGTTGTAGTCTACATTTTTGGATTCGTCCTGACATGTTGGCTTACAAAAAAGGTGAGCAACCTTGATCTTCACTTGCCCCCGCTGTACTGAGGAATATCAGCAGTTACTTACTCATCAAAGTACGTACTGTTCCCACCAGAGTAATTTGATCAACAGGTAGACGCTTTCTTGTCTTCAAGATCTGCCTCTGAATTAAACTACCAACTTGGAACGGAAACTTATTTACTTCATAGCTGCTTCATTCCAAAAAGAATTCAGTGGCTTACAGAGAGAGATGTTATTATTATCATTCAAAAAAGATGAGGAAATTGGGGTCATGGAAAGACAAAAAGGCAGGAGGAAGATTAAAATGTAAAAATAGATGCTTTTGACTTTTAAAAATTATTCCATGTGGACTACAAATTTGATTCTAAGTTTCCAGAGTCAGGGCAGATGAAGGTATTACTTATAAGTTCTCCTCAACTAGTTAATTAAAAACCAATCAGTGAGGAAGTCTTATAAGGAGCCATCAGTAGTTGAGAAGGAACTTGCTAGCTTCTTTTATTTTTTAATTTTTAAGTTAATTAATTCATTTATTTTGAATTGAGGTACTAGGGATTGAACCCAGGACCTCATGCATGCTAAGCATGCGCTCTACCACTGAGCTATGCCCTCCCCCACCTTGCCAGCTTCTTTACTTGGTAAGTTACTAGGACTCCTTGCTTTTACAGAAAACCACTGAAAAGCTGTGCAGAAAGATAAAACAATAGCAATGATAACAACAAAAATCTCTCTGTGCTGGGGGATATTCTTTTAGTCTTTCCCAATGCAGATTCTCAGTCAAAGAACTTACACCATTCTCTGTATTAGGTAAGGTTGTTAGCATCCTTAGGTACATCCCCAGTGTGATCACAGCAGTGCTGGAAGGGAGTTTGAAAAGTGAGATAAAGAAGGAAGAGAGTGAGATGAGGCCCCATGGTCTATGTTTACTAGGGAAAGAACAGTAAAGGCATAAATGAGAAAAGACTCTTGTTCAGCAGAGTCTTTTTATTTAAATCCATTTGCATATTGTTCTCCTACTTAGCCAAAAGTTAGGAGGCTAAGTCACGTTATAACACTTTGTCAGATACCGCTTCAACAAAGAGTAGACAGCAGTCACAAGCACACACACACACACACACACACACACACACACACACACACACACACAGAGACAGCAGTCACAAGCACACACACACACACACACACACACACACACACACACACACACACACAGCACAGGAACGGAGATGGGGAAAGGCAGAGGACAAACGATGTTTCTGACTTTTCCTGCAGAAGTACCGCTCCAGCGTGCACGACCCTAACAGTGAGTACATGTTCATGGCTGCAGTGAACACCGCGAAGAAGCCTAGACTCGCAGGTACAGCGACTTGTAGGGGTTTGGGAAGGGAAGAGCATTCTTTACAAGACGTCTAAAATTTTAATTTTTAAAGGAAGAGAAAATGTCTCTAAGAGTGAATTTTACCCTTTTCTGTAAAAAAAAAAACCAAATTTTTATTTTAGATGCAAGTTTACTTTCTCCAGTTCATTGAAAATAAACAATAAGTTTGTAAACCACTATTAAAAATAACCCAGAAGTTCATAAACCACTATTGTAGCAAGGCGATTTTCTCACTGATATTATAAAAATGGGGGGGATTCCAAGTCTTCCCTGTTAAAAAGTTCATTAAGTCATACGATGAGATTTATTGAGTATCAGTTAAGTGTATTACTGAGTGAGGCACTGTGGGAGATACAGAGATAGGGAGATTTTTCAATTGAGATTTGGAAGAAAGATCTAGGCAGGTGTTCCCAAGGGGAAGAAGGAGAAATTGGTGAAGATGTTATTTCGATGTAAAGAATGTGCATGAGAAATTGGATGGCTGTGGAAGGTTAATTAAGTGGGACTTTGACCTTTTCCTTTCAGTGTGAGTGTTGTCAACTTGAGTGTTCTCAAGCTAAGGAGCATCCCAGGGAGTCAGAAGTATCCATTTTTAATAAATCTTACGCTTCTGAGGTTGCACTAATGGGAGGCTTGTCACGAGAAAGAAGCCACTGCATTTTTGCCACCACTCTGTGGTGAAGGACTTGTATACAAGGGCTGCACACAGCATCTGTAGTCACGGAATTACAGCATGGAAAGGAGATGAGTGCTCCTTTTGTCCATCTCCTCATTTTTAAGATGAAAGAAATTGATGCCCAGGGTGTTCAGTGATTCTTTGGTTCCCGTGATTGTTGATATCATAGCTTTGACACTCGAAAGAGCTTGTGTTTCATTACTTTGCTATTGAAAGAAAAGAACCTTTCATCCTTTCAATGTCTGTGCTCATAATAAGGTGTCTGTCTTACTTTGGGTCCCTGAAAGCAGACCACGAGACAGAGACTTGGGTGCAAGTAGTTTATTTGGAAGGTGCCCCCAGGAAGAAGGGGTGGGGGAGCAGGGAGAGTGAGATAGGCAACGAGGAAAAACCAAATGCAGGTTGCATTACTCAGATCTCAGCCAGAGGCCACAGGACCCCTGAGAAGTGTATGCAGACATCTCCCAGAATTGTTCTTCTGAAGGCTGGCAAGTCGGGCATTTATCCACTGGCTCCCATGCCTGCAGGGTGCATGAATCTCCTTTATTTCTGAGCTGTGCTCTGTGCAGACAATGAGCCTGCTCTCAAGCCTTCAGAGCAAGCCCTGAGGCAGAAAAGCAGAGAAATGCATGGTGGGACTGTTGTGCTAGAACCGCCAGCGTAGGCAGAAATGTCCACCCGAACTGCAGCTGGAATCAGAAGTTGGCAGTTTCACAGTCCACCCACCAAGCCTAGAGTCTATCGTGCAATTACACATAAGCCGACAGGGACTCCAAACGGCCAGACTGAAAGCTTCTTGAGGGTAGGCAGTGTCCTTCTCCTGTATTCTGAAAGCATTACAGGTACCAGGCAGAGCATGTCTCAGCACCTCTGTCAAGTATTTGTTGTGTGATTATTATGTGAACAGCACTGTGCTGAGTAATGTGTATTGGGTAGAGAGGGAGGGAAGATCTAAGACAGTCCTTGTTTTCAGTTTGTAACGCCATTGGGAGAGGTAAGATGTTTGCATGGAGGGTGGAGTCACGTAATAGTGTCAAAAATACTCAATTACTTGCAAAATGTCGAGTGCAGATAAAGCCTGCTATAGGAGTCAGGAGTAGGACGGGTAAAATGCCACAGAAAATGTGGAGCTGGTGCGCAGTCTCGAAGAATAAAGAAGAATTAGGATGGGGTACATGTCTGCGTGTATGTATATGCGTGTGTGTCTACAAGAGGCAGAGGAAAAGGGAAAGCTTATTGAAGGGGATTGGCACGTGGAGAGCCTTTTAAGAATTTATGTTAAATTTTTGTTACAGATGTGACCCCTAATTTGGAACTCTCTGGCACCCAGGCATGAACCACATCGGCCAGTTCCCTCCAACTTGAAGAGCAAGATTCCCTCACGTCCTGGACCACAGAGAGTCTGACTTGATTTGACTACATATGGTCTCCTGTTGGTGTTTTGTTCAATCTGGATCAGTGACTATATCAGTCCGCAGGGATTTTAACAGACTGCCTCAGTACTGTTGGGTTCTCTCAAAACAAATACCCTCTCGCGACTAGCTTTACAGAAAGCCCCGCTCATGTGTGCTCAACAAACAGACCTCACTGGGATGGAATCCCTGTCTTCACATCTGCTTCTAGCAATGCACCAGCCAGTAAAACAAACACATCTACAAAAATGTTTCAAAGATGCCAAGGGTATTGAATCTGCAAAGCAAATGGGCAGGCGAAGGCCAGAATCTGTCTGCATTTCACTAACAGACTACCTCTTCTTCCCATAGGGATGAGCATTTCTTTTCCACTCAGACACTGGAGGGAGATGTTTCAAATCTGTAGTTATTTTATTTTAAGTTGTGGACGCGTAACTATAGCATACTAGTACCTTTGTACACGGCTCTCTTCTCCCAGTTTCTGAACCCCAGTTGATCACTGCACCTAGAGTTTAGAAGCCTTCTTCTGCCCTCAATTTTCCTTTTAAAAATACTTCCACGTAACTATTTGACAGACACTCTGAGTAGGGAGCTGCATCTACATTTTTTTCCTTCTGCTGCTCAATTATATATATTGCTGCAGCCTGATGAATATAACTTGCCTACATTCTCCATAAACAAGCATATTTACTCCAGAATGACATCTTATTCCCCCAAATTCAGTTAAAGTGGTTTACTTTGCTGACTCGTTGACATTAGGGGCAGGAAGCATTGTCTAGAATCAAAAGTGACTTCATTTTATGATACTGGTTTCTACCATTCTCTATGTTTTCATGGTGCTATTAATCACAAGTTAGGCTGTTTTTGTAGCTCATGTTAAAATTGCAAACAAAGAAACCCATCTGTCGCTGTCAAGCCCTGTCCTGGGGGTAGAGCCCGTGACCGGTTCAGCACGAAGGCGGCAGTTCTTGGAGGTCGCTGCCAAACCACGGTCGTGCTGCTGCCTCTGGGCTTGGCAGGTTGGGATTCCCAGAGCTGAGAGATTCTGCTGCGCCAGGACAACCAGGTGCTCTTGCCCCCAGAGTTTGAAGTCACCCTGGGGATCAGAGTGGGTCTGCCTGCATTTGTACCTTCAGGATTTGTGAAGAAGCCCAGATGTGTCAGGAAACATCTGCATGATTCCCTCTCCTAGAAACCATTCAGCCTGGAGACTGGCCCTGGCCCCTCAAGTCAGTCTTCCTTTGAATTTGATTTGGTTGGAAAGATTCTTAAGTACACGTAACATGTGATTATTCTTAGCTGAAATATTTTCTCTATGTCCTGTTTGCATGCCCAAGGTTTTTGAAACAGCCAATATGTATGTGATAATGTTTTCAATTTAGGTCAAATGGGAGTATTCAGTGGTTTTAAAATTTGTAGTTGCCTGCTTCTAGTTTACTTTAAAAGTGAGACCTGATGTGTCATTATGCATACTTATATTGTTTTAAGCATGTGTAATGCTGGATGTGTACAGTACAATACTGAATTGGTATTTTGAATCAAGTACAGTGTTCTCGGCTTTCAGCTGACTCGGACAACCTGGCTGGCTTTGCAAAGGTGATCCCCGAGTTGTCTGCAGCTTTCTGTGTCGGGGGCAAGTGGGGAGGACAGCCTTCGTGTGGCCCGCCTCGCCTGGTTGTCCAGGCTGTGCCCGGAAGGGCAGCCTCATCCTTAGCACTGGACATTTCAAAGTGAATGATTAAAGGCTACAATTTCTATGAAATAAAAATTGGTTTTTAGAAGAGCTAATTATGAAATAGATTTTAGCACTAGTAGGAAGCTAAAGAATAAACATCTGATATTCAGCAGTGGAAATATCTCAGTGCTTTCCTGGGGGCGGGTAACGATTCCTGTGGCCAGCACTTGCTGCTCTGACCTTGTCCTCAAAGATCCCAACACTACTTGGACCAGTTGCTCTTTTCATTTTCATTAAAAAAAATTCTTTTTTGAAACAACCACAAATGTAGAGTAGTTGGAAGTCCAGCAAAAGGACTGTTCTTCTCCTAAGTTTCTGACCTCATACCCTATCACCTCTAAGTAGCAAATATATGTATGTTTATATACTCCTATATACACTCTCCTCCACAGACACAATACAATTACAATATCAGAAAATTAACATGGATACATTGCTGCCACCCAACTTTCAGACTGCATTCAAGTTTGTCCAGGTGTCCTTCTAATGTATTTTCTTGCAAAAGATTCTGTCCAGAATCTCCCTCTGCCTTTAGTTGTCACATCTCTGTTGTGAACTTCAGTCTGGACAGTTTCTCAGCCTAGACTTTAATGGCCTTGGCTCTTTTGCAGATTACAATTATTTTGTAGAATGTCCCTCAGTTTGGGTGGGTCTAATGTTTCTTCATAATTAAACTTAAGTTAGCGATCTTTAGCAAAAATAACACAGAAGCGATGCTATGTTCTTTTAATTGCATCCTATTATTGGCTCAAAAATCTTGATTTCTTAGATTACTGATAACGTTCATTTTGATCACTTGACTAAGGCGATGTCTGTCAAGCTTCTCCTCTGTAAAGTAACTCTTTTCCCCTCAAAGTTAACAAATCATTTATGGGGAGATACTTTGAAATCTTATGAGTCATCTGTAACTTATCAGAGTTTCAATTTATTCATTTGTTCATTTAGATATATATATGATTTCCTATTCTATTCAATGGGTAAACATTTGTTACCATCTTTATATTATTTTGATGCATAAGTTGTCCCATCCCTGAACAGTGGGAACCTATTCAAACCGGCTCTGGTGTCCTTGACCATGTACCCATCATTCTTTCAGCACTTCCTTGCTTTCTGGCAGAACAAGACATTCCAGGCTCAGCTCACGTTTTCTCCGTCCCAGTGCTGGAATCAGTTGTTTGTCCAGGGAGCTCTTATTTCTCTGCGTGGGCAATGGTTTTTAGAAACCAAGATTTAGACATCAGTAAATGCTCATCACTCTTGGGACTCCCCTGCTCTGGGACACTCAGTGGACAGAACTGGGACACACACCCACGGACGCTCAAATATAGATGTAAATGTGTATGTGTGTGTATACAAATGTACATGTATACGTAAAGTACAGATGTAAATGTGTGTATATACACACACATATATACATATTTACATACGTAGATACACTTCCGTCTATATTGATTTCTGGGCCCATGTCTGTATTGTAGAAATTGATGAGTTCTCACTTATGTTTTTAATTCTAATACAACACTGTAGAGTTCTTTCTAGATTTATTCTTCTCTGTTACTTGTTTCTCTTATGACAGTGAAAATCTGACTCTTATTATCCTTAGTATGTTTCCTTATTTGATCAATCCCCCAGTATGAAACCAATCTTCCACCTTAGTCTCACCCCCCCCCCCCACCAGGGTAGCTTCCTCTTTCTTTCGGGGCTTGGACTCCCCATGCTGGGCCCTCCCTCCCACCCCATGGACGCCCTTTTCACCCTGTTTGGGCTCTTACACCCCAGGCTGGGGTGTTCCTCCGTCTTCAGCTGGGGGTGACAGTGGCTCCCTGGGCCTGGGGTGGCTTACCTTATGGCTTGTGTTTTATACTGGCTCCCACAGTTTGTCTGTTGGATTCAGTCTGATTGCCTACAGTGATTACTGGTTTGATCCCCTCTATTGGCTACTGCTCCTTCCCTGTCTCCCCTCCTTACATCCCTACTGGTGTTTCCTTTGCTTCTCATATAAACTGCCTACCTGGGAATCCTTGTCTCAGCCTCAGCTCCTGGGGTGGCTCCAGCTCAGACACGCTTCACCCTCCAGGCCTAGGGGGAAGTGTGCTTTCCCACTGCTGCTGGCCCCTGGTGCGACATCCTCCCTTGTTTGTTCCTGGTATTTCCTTGGCTCCATCTACACCTTTGGAAAAATCCATTGATTACCTTTTTCACTTAACCTCTAAGTCACCACCTATCTCTGAGGAGACTGACCGAATCACACCCCAAAGTGGCTTGTTCCTCCTAGTCCGTCCCCGCTGGTGTCTGGTGCTCTGGGACACAGAGCCCTTCTAGAGTCTGACCTCCTTGTTTGGGAGCGTCATCTCAGATTCTGAAGAATACAAAGCTCTTCACCTTGTTACATGGTTTTCTTTGCTCGATTCACACTTTTTATGAGAGGGGACCCCTTCTATGTGTGATCCACACCCTCTTCCCATTTCCAACCCACTCCAGTTTTCTTTTCTTTTGTACTGGGTGGGTAAGCTATGAAAAAGATGAATTGGGAAATTAGAAGTTTTCCAGGGTAGTAACCACATCAGTATCAAGATTTAACCCCACTTCCAGGGTCTGTGTTCTTAGTAAGATGAAAATGGCGAATTCACCAAGTCCTCCCTATGTAAGGCAAGCTATCCTTGGATGTCTTTTACTCTATTACAACTTTCATTTCTCTCTAGCTTGTCCATTAGTGTTTATGATTCAGTGTATAAATCTAAGGCATTCTCCACCTTGCCATAGACTCCCTCTAGGGCAGAGGGACAGCCTATCATCAAATCTAGAAATAACCCCTTAAAGCACCCCTGTGCACTCTCATGTTCTCTGTCTTCTAAGTCTACCCGTCCTTGTCTCATTTCAGGGACTGCTCTAAACATGACTAAAGACACCCTTTCTCCCTGAGTCTCCTGAGCATAGTGCTTCCTATGAATTTCCTCATCCTCAAGAAGCTAACAGCTATGGCCAAGGAGATTCTCCAGGAATCTGGCCTCTGCATGGACAGCTGGACAAAAACGTTCAACCAAACCACAGATGTCTGCCACTGGCCTCTCTCCTTAAGAAAATGTATCCATTGAGACAGGATTGAACACTAATCTCATTTCATAAGGAAGAGTTTTTAGTCTTCATGTAAATGAAGCGTATAAGGGCATTGAAGTATGGTTCTTAGAAAAAAACACTGAATCCTATTTGTGACGTCTCGTTAGTATGGTCTCTATCTACTCCATCTTTTTAGCTTCATGGTCGTAGTCCAAAATGACTGCAGTGTGTTTAACAAACACAGCACTCTTTTTCATTATTCTTCCCCAGATTTGGAAGTTATGGGGAGATGCTGTCTTGAGTTAGGCTAAGAAGATGACTTAAATGCAGCTGAACACTCCACCTTAAGTCTAAAACATCAGATAAGTTCTCCTAAAATCTCCAGTATTAAATCCAGATATCTCTGAGCTCACTCAGAATTACATTGAAGAAAATGACATTCCATCAGAAATAAATGTTAACTGAAAATACAGCTCTTCCCAGTCTTTGGAGAACATGTCCAAATGGGAGTGGGCTTCATTCACAAAGCACAGCAGAACTTCATAAAAAATGCCCCTTTCCTCCTCATCAGTGCCTCATCAGTCCCCGCCCCTCCTTTTCTTCTCCTAAAGCCTTCTCCAAGCAGCCTGCATGTCTCTTCCATCTCCTCCCCACATTTTCCCATTCATAGCACCTGAAAAAAATAGCTGTTTCTTTCATCCTAATTCACACTGTGCCTATATTGCTTTCCTTGTCTGTTGAAACAAATCACCATGAACTTGGTGGTTTAAAACAACACGAATTTATTCTCTTACAGTTCTAGAGGCCAGAAGTCCACAATCAGTTTTGCTGATCTAAAGCCAAGGTGTGGCAGGGCTAGTGTTTCTGGGGGCTTCAGGGAAGAATCCATTTTCTTGTTTTCCAAAGCTTCTGGTGGCTGCCAGCATTCTTTGGCTTGTCATCACTCCCATCTCTGCTTCTGTAGTCACACTGTAGTGGAATCTCCCCCTCTGCCTTTCTCCTATAAGGACACTTGTGGTTACAGTGAGGGCCCACCTGAAGAATCCACGATAATTTCCCATCTCAAGATCCTTACCTAATGGCATCTGCAAACATCCACAAAGTCCCTTTTGCCATGTAAGGTAATCTGCAGATTCCGGGGGGGTTAGGACTCAGATGCCTTTTGTGACCATTGTTCAGCCCCCCACAGTCACCAACCATCAGGGTGGTGGGGGTGGAGAACCCCTCTATGAACCTTTCCTTCCACTCCCAACCTGGGTCCTATACTTAGGATGCCCCACCCCTTTCTCTAATTCTCTCTTTCTGAAACTCCACACCCTTCTTTGACAGAGCTCCAGTTACTGTCTCCTTTAGATTCTTTCCCTATCTAGGGGGCCATGTTCCCAGTCTGAGTCCTACAGGCAGGCTAGTTTTGCGTTTCAGCCCACTGGAAGGCTGCCGTTCATTACCTTTAGCAGAGCAGGTGCTGAGCTGGAAGGAGCACCGGCCGGCGTGGGCTCCGGTCTAGTGATGATGGTGAGCACCGCTCTGTCAACTCGTTTCCCTTCTATTACATCCACCCAAAGGAGCTGCAGACTCACTGGTTTGTTTGCTAATTGGTCCATTATAGCAGGCACATCCCCTGAAGGATAAACCATATTTGGGAGTCAGTACTGTTTAAACTCAGGTTAAGAAAAGGCTCAGTTGCCTCACTGAGCCAGGAGTCTGCCCTGTCCTTTGTGTCACTGGGGCACCATTACTGTGAAATAAAGTCTTTTTCATGCTTCCTCTGGCAGGGCCTCCCAGAATCCAAAAAGGAGTTGACTTTCGCTTTTAATGGCTATTCACTTTATTAATATGGGAAGCAGGCTAAACTTAATTAAATTATTTTGTGACAGAATTTCCTGTCTCATGGAAATCAGGGTGGGAATTTCTATTTTCTTCCATCCCGTAGTATATATTAAATGCCGTGGGATCTAAATTTATGTCCTAGCAACAGCCAAGAAAAATGGCGATTTCTGGGAAGCACCCTTTTTTTAACATAAAGAAATCCAAATGTGTGAACATAAGAAATTTGGGAACCAAATGACTGCCTTCCAGTTGGAACTTGCAATCAGCCTAACATTTCCCAAACAGTACTTTGAGAGGAAATCCTA